TCCCTTCCTTCTCCTTCAACATTCAAATTTATCATTTTTACTATGCTTATAATGAGCGCTCTGCGTTTCGATAGCATGATATAGTTTATTTATATACTTCTCTTTAATAATAAATAGTTTATACCAAAAGTATACGATATACCGACAACTGTAGCGGTAAGCTTTAACATTAGACTTTTCATTATGTTGGCAGCTTCTTCACAATCTCGAACAAAAAGACGACTGTAAGCTTTATTTAGAATAACAGAATTCCTTCGCTTGAAAGCCGTTCTGAGGAGCCTGGCTTCAGAAACCTCCGCAAGACATGATTGCACAAATGAATATTATATTTATTACCAGTGTCAAAAACTACCTGTTAGCAGCTATGTTTGTAATTATCATCAGGGGGGCACTCAGATATGTCCGCTTCTTAGATCTATGTATATCGGGGACCTTAAAGGCTAGACATAATCTCACTGAAATTGGCAGGTTTTGGATGTCTCAACCGGCGCTTAATTTTCGGTTTGTTAATTCCATCTGGCGAAACTTTTGTCTCTTGTAGGTCGTATCAGATAGTGTAACAATGTCGAATTTTCTCGAACAAATTCAAAATGGAAACAGTCGTGGTAGATCGGATAATAATTTAATTGAAGCAGTCCTTCACTCAGGTGATCAAAGTCAAGCAAGTCAGATACTCCTATCATTATCACAAACATTTAATTCAGCAGCTATTGACGTACAACTAGCAGTGGTTACAGGTAAGTTCGTTCGATCGGGTATAAGCGCCGTATGAATTTCTCAACGGTAGATAATGAGAAATTAAAATTTTGCCGATAAAGAAATAAGACAATCGATTCATCCGTTTCCACGGCCATTTAACCTTTACAGAACTCTGAGTTGATTTGGGAAAAAAGTTAGAAGTCCAAACTCTTCTTTGTACGGTGAGTTGCGATTTACATCGTCTCATAATGTCGACTAGGAGTCCTTCTTGTTGAAGGGTTTACACTTTAGTTGTAAAGAACTTCGCCGATTAGTTGCTGGGCGTCAGTGTAGCTATAATACACTTATTGCTACTTAATTCAGCTTAATTTATATTTCGGGCAACTATCTGGCTGCCACATGTACTCTAGTATCAGGGCTTGTTTCATCACCTAAAACGGTAGGTCCAAATCTCATTCCGTCCGCAAAAAGAACATTCTTTCACCGTTTTAATCCAACGACACTTCAACGAATGTAAATATTTTTTCTCTTGATGATTACAATACAAATCTGAATAGTCGGTCGAATACTCATGATTATTTGCTAAACGTCGTTTCCAATCTTCCAGTTATAACTGTCGTAGCAATTGTCGTGTGTTACAACCGCCTAATTACAACTGTCGTAAGGTGAGGTGAAAAAGTCTTCGCTGAGCCCAAAACCAGCGATAACTTCAACTTTTGAATTTTTTCTTTAAAACTTTCCACTTTGTGGAGGATACTTTGAAGTATATGTCCTGAAGTTTTTCCGGCTTACTGACATTATTTCACTGAGAAAAAATTAATTACTGAAAAATATATTGTTTAATTTTCGACTTACTAGTAGAGCCCATCGGGTCCGGGTCCAAAAATCATGGACCCGATGGACGCTAATGTAGAGTATATTACTTGTCGAACATAAAAAAATGAAAAAAAAAGGATATTCTATCTTTGGATCGATTATTAAATCCGAACTAGAATTTTTTATTATAGATCTCAAATGAGTGATTCGTGCCCGAATCACAAAGAATTAATTATTGGGTTCGGATCCGAGAATTTTCTTTGAGCGGGTCCGGGTCCGGATACAAAAAAATTTAACCAACCGGGTCCCGATCCGGTCCGGGTTTGAATAAATTTTTATCATCGGGTCCGGGTCCAAAAATCATGGGGGCTCTACTTACCGACTTACCGGGCGGCCAAAACTGAATTTTAAGACGTTTAGGGTAGTTCAACCTGTAGTCGTGAAATTCTCTACCGAATAAAAAGCCTAAAATGAACAGATTCGTTAGTGTACACTCCTAGGAGCTTAAAGTTGAAACTTTTCAAACATGGACTGATTCAGTTGCCGTTTCTAGAAAACTTAAACAAAGTCCTAAGGGCACAAGGCCTCGACCAGAGCTCCTAGCCAATCACTCCCGCTCTAAGCATTTGTATCTGTCGAAAGTGGAAGGACAAGCGGAAGAATAAAACCACATATTTACTGAATTTCCTCATCCTCTTCTACACTTCTACCGGTGCTCCTTGTCTTTCAAAAAAACAGAGAGAGAGGAGTGTCACGGACGTACCTAAGTTTTACACTACATCTCCCGTTGTTGGATACCCATTGCTGTAACCCTGATGAATTTTTCAGAGCTTCTAGAAAATTTACTACCAAGCCATCAAAACCCCACTGCGAAGCTACCAAAAGTAGTTTATTCGAAGGAGGATACTTTAGGCTATCCAACCATATGTTATTCTCAATGCCGACACATCCGAAGAAAAGCGCTATTTCTGACAGAGGAGGGCTTAGAAAGTTTTGGACTAACTGTCAGTATAAAACAAACGTGTTGCTACTTCAGATTTTGACGAACTGAACACGTTTTTCGGAGATCTTGGCCGTAATTTTGGAAAGATTAAATTGATGTGTTATTAGAAATCAATATTTTGTTGTATCTAAATTTATTAAACATTTACGAATTATTTATCATAAAGAAAGTCAGTTATGTGATAATCAGTTTGAATGGATGTTTGTATAAAAAGTAGGCATACGTTACGCACTTTGAATTGCATTTTCATAGTATTGTCGTAAACTGATTTTTCATCACATTTATTACTAAAGGGATGGACACAATATAGGACCCAGGTATTATATCTCGCCCTATCGCTCATAACTTCGAAGGGAGTCTTCTAAAGTGTCGCTAAAAAAAGCTGATTTTGAGCCGAAAGCGCTTGATCGAGAGTTCGCGCTGTGTACAAAGCTATTGATTCAGCCGATGACCGCTGTTTATTCTTATTTTTTTACTATTCTAGTAGCTGTATATTCACTCTAACAGCTGAGAAAAAAGACGAACGCAAAAATTATGTTTGATTGTGCCCATCCCTTTATTACATATAAGTGTTAATCTGTTGAATCATTTTATATGTGATTATATATTAATATGAAAGGAAAGTCACAATAGAACATTATCTTATGCATTTTCGACTAGAATATGATCTGTATGATTCTGAAAAATTATGTTTTAATTACTACACTTGTTTGTACATTTTTAAGCGTATTAAATTCTCTTATACTGACATATTTTATACTATTTATTTTTAAGCGCGAAGGAACGAACGCTGTATCACTTTTAGCATGTTTCTATACATTTTCACAAAAAATTAGGTAAAATCACTTGTCATTCTTCGTCCCTACGACACTGTTTAATTTTGCAATATCGTTTTCTCATATCTTTCTCTTATTTTACCTTTTTGCATAGATATATGTATAATTTGTCGAATTTTTTCTTCTGAGCAAGGTAAAAACATGTATTAGACACATTATCTGTATAAAAAAAAAACGTGTGCTTGGATCTATGGCAACAAATTCATCCTTGGCTCAAGATTTTTATCTAGCGTGCCGAAATGGTGAAGTATCTAAAGTGAAACAATATTTGAAAATAATGACCGTAGATCAACTAAACGAAACGGAATCTCATGGTAGTACAGCATTACATGCTGCTTCCTTTTATGGACACAAAGACGTGGTTAAAATATTATTTGAATACGATGGAATATGTCGATCGGTGAGAAATAATTTTAAACTGACTGCCTACGAAGAAGCTAAAACTGACGATGTGAGAGAATTATTCTTAAGAAAAAGTGGTTCAGATAGATTTGTTGGCACAACACAAATTGAATGGGTGAAACTTGATTCTAATATTGAGAAATATGCATCGGGACAACGTCATTGGTTCAGCGAAGAAAGGATTGAAATTGATATAGATAGACAAGTAGGTCAGATATGTGAAGATTATTTAGACAAAAGTCTTTGTGATATTGACGGTATTGAATTAATACGTTATTTCTATAGACAAGCTGAGAAACAAAACAGTCCAGTTTATATACTCAAGGCTTATACAGCAGAAACTGATTATTATAAAGTGTTAAATAATCAATTAGCAATGTTAAATGGAAATACGCCCGATGATTATCAAAATAGTTGGTCTCGTGATGCTATTATTGGAATTATGATATCTCATCCAGCTCTTGATAATCTTTCATATGTTGGTGTCACTTATCGTGGTATGTGTCTAACAGAAGATGATTTAAAACAGTATAAAGTTGGTACACGTGTAATGAACAAAACATTTTTATCAACGTCGACAGATCGACACATAGTTGATCGATTTAGTTTACCAAAAGACAAAAGAATAAGCGCTATATGCGTTTATGACATTCGAAATAATCGAAGTGGATTGAATGTTGAATCAATATCTGAATACGGTAGTGAAAAGGAGGTGTTGATAGCACCATTTTGTGCGTTTAAGGTAATGAATATTAAACACAGTGCCTCTAGTAGTAAAATTTCGGTTGAAATAACACTTCAGGAATATCATAAATCACTTCATAAATAATAATGTATTAATACAATCAATCGGTCAATATAATAACCTATGTTGCAAAAGTCTTCGTGCAAATTAAAACTCATATATTTTTATTAAGAGAAACCTTTTTCCAATCAAAATGTGAGTTTTGGAGTTAACATTTTCTACGCTTTTTATATATTTTTTTGAAATTTTACAGGCTATTTTGTTTCAGAATTGCAGATGTTTCTCAGGCATGTTTCAAAATATCAATTGTACAAAGAAACAACAGATTTTTTAAAGTATGATGATGCAGGTGGAGCAGATTAGCTTAAAATTTTTTTTGTTCGAATATCGAATTGTAGAGCATAAATTTCTCTACAAAATGGCATATTGTACAAGTTTTAGGAAAAAAATCACCCACCTTCTATAAAAAGCTTTATTGTTCAAAATTTCGTTTTTGTTAATTTTGCGTTTTACATGGGATGGGGCTTCTCACAGAACACGTGCAGCGGCCTATCCTCAAGTCCAATGAGAACGTGCGACACACTATTTTGTAGAGAATCGGTTGCTCTACAATCGGACACTCAAGTAAACGTTTATTACTAAAAATATTAAATATAGTACAATTTACGAGGGAATGTTTTCAAGTAGTCCCTCGCTTTTTCAACGAAAACTAGTGGGTTATAGGTTATCGATGATGCTGATTCTGAATGTGAATATGAGAGCTGGCATTAGGGCTTCGAGAATCCGCTTTTCTGGGAAACTAGCTCTTTAGAAACTCCGAAAAACAATCAAAGCTTTTCTTAATGAGTCATGTTTGTAGCCCGTACATTTCTAATTTAAAATGAGACCTTTCCCAACTCTACATGGCCTTTCTTTGCAAAGTTATAGAATATACAAGAAAAGCCCTAAATATTCATTGTCAACTCAAAGCTACAGACATAAGAAGAAATTAATTCAGAGTTTTTCTTATAAATTCTATAACTTTGCAAAGAAAGGGCATGTAGAGTTCTCATTTTAATCAAAAATGTACGGGCATGACTCATTAAGAAAAGCTTTGGTTGTATTTCAGAAAATCGGGTCTTCAAAGTCCTAAGAGCAGCTCTCATATTTATATTCGGAATCAGTATCATCGATAACCTGTAACCCACTAGATTTCGTTGAAAAAGCGAAGGAGCAGTTAAGAATGTTCCGTTTCGTCGTTAGAAAAATAGGCTTTTTCCACTGTACAAGTGATATTTCATATTACATTTATTTTATTTGCAAGCCTACATTAATCTTATACGTATTGACTCGCGTCCTCTCATTACGAATAGTAAAAAACGTGAAAAAATCTCAATAAAGTGAAGGTAAATTATATTAAATGTGTGCATCAATTCCTCTTGTGCTTGATCGATCACCTTTTTAACCGTTTCTGTGGTAGTTTCTACGATCAACTATGGACTACTTCTAGACTTTCGAGGTGCCAATGACTAGAGGAAACTCGAGTACTACCGCAAATATCACAAACGCGATTTGGTGTGATAAACAGTTCAACGCTGAACGAGAAAAACAATGTTGGACCTAAATGACTCATATCTACGCACAAAATCGGTAATTTATTTTTTAACGTTATTTATGCAAACTACGCAAAAAGAAGATAATGAATCATTGTGTGCGTGATTAATCACCGTTTTAATTTTACCTAATTCTAATAAAAAACTTCTTTGTCAAAAATATGCAACAATATTCTTGTCACTTTTTGAGTCATAACAGAATTTTGTAGATATTTCATATTTTTGTAAAACTTTGCTACTTGCAAAAAATATCCGATAAATGTCACAGTTTTTCGCAAAAACAAAATTTTGCAAAAATAGACAGCAAACTGTCCAAAGAAAATTCTCTATTAGTGGACCGTTTTGCAAAATTTTGTATGGTAGTTACCATTCTTTGCGTTACTTTAACGTTTAACGCAAAAACTCACTAGAAAAAGGCTACATAGGAGTTCTATTGATGTTCATGAAAAATGAAAAACGTGCGAGTTAGTTCATCAGAAAGGGAACCAAGAAAATACTATTTGTGTCTAGATCAGTACAGGATCGGAAAAAATGTTTTTCCAGGAGGGTACCGCTCAAATTACAAATGATATCACACAGTATTATATATCAAATGAATGCCCATTAAAAATGAAATTTATGAGTATACTCGATAGTCCATACAATGATTGCTAGCTCTTGAAATATGAAAATCCCTTGAATCCTATGGTTAAACGCGCTCGTGTTTTACAATTTTCATTCTTCTGGTACATATTTTTTCAAAATAATAGCAGATTCGTGATCTCCATCAAAAACTGAATCTATAGACTGTCATTTATATATTTTTGACCAAAAACATTTTTTCGAAAAAATTCTGGGGAGTATCCCAGACAAAAAATTTCAAAAAAACTTTTTGAATTTAAATATCTTAATTCATACCTCATTCGACGCAGTTTTTGACGGAGATTACGAATTTGATATTATTTTTGATGAAAAATCTAATAAAAAAGCGAAAATTGCAAAATTTTGTTTTGTTGTTTGGGCATACAAATGACATACATTTTACAATGCCGGGTTGATAACTCCCAGAAGATAAAGAAGTTCGGAAAAATCGTTCCATATTTTTATTGCTCTTATCGTCAGTAAGGTTCTCTACAAATATTATTAGTTTACAATTTGGTTCAATGGCACCAGATCAATCTTCATACACATACATATCATTTTTTGAAGATAGCATCGTCTTTCAAGCTTTGGCCTTCAAGGATGATGATAATAGCAAACTAATGTTTATTTTTTATTGGTTTCATGAGTACAATCAATAATCAGTATGACTACCATTGGCCTTTTTATAGCACGAAGTGGTGACGGATAGGAGCATAAAAGAGTCTGAAAAAGTTCAGTGTCTGTTTTCATATTTTTCAAGACATCTGAAATTTGATTCACCGGCGTTTCTTGAGAGTATTGGGCAAATCCAGTCAATGATAACATTCTTTTTTGAACGTCCTCTTTCATTATTGATCCAATATGTTCAGCAGCATTGAGATCCGGTGAATTTCCGGGCCAAATGCTGTTAGCCCAAAAACCAATATTGTTGTCCTGAATCAATTGTTGTATCATGTTTGCTTTCATACACGGTGCTTTGTCATGAACAAAAACTACCTCATTCGTGTCAATTACATTTTCTTCATTCTTGAGGAAAGGGAATACATGTTATTTTTAAATTGTCTCACGAAAATACTCGTCATTCCAAGTTTGATCTTTATTCTTAATCAACCAGTGCATTTTTTTCGCGATGAAAATGACAAAAATACCAATACAGACTGGATGTGAAACCATTACCCGATATCTTTGATCATTTTTGATATCTTCGACACGCTTTGCCCAAACTCTGTCATTCTGATGATTTGGCTTGCGCATAGTCCAAACGTAAAATTCATCTGCTGGCGTGAGATGCAAAAAATCCTCTCGAGTCCAATTGTTTAGCTACTCGCAGAGCAACAAACGATTTAAAATATGAGCTTCCATCCTCAATGGTTTTGAAACAACATGAAATGGCTTGAATCCTGCTCTATGATCGTAGTTAATGATAGTTCTTTGATGTATTCTTTTTGTTTTTCGGCGATGTCCTTTGCCACAAAGGAGGAACTTTTTCATTGTTTGCCACTGGCATTGAGAATGATGGATTGACTCTCTTCTGATAACTTGAGGTTGCGACCACATTCTGAATAATCAGCAAAACATTCATCGTATGACTTTTCCCACCATTGAGTAACAAATCGTGTCGTGCGATGAACTTTTTCTGCTACTTATTCTCGATTGATAAATGCTGCACCGGCATCACGGGCCTCACGGAAAGCAATGCATTTTATCCGGTCGATGATTCTCTGATGCTCATTGTTGTAAGTTCCAGCCATTATGCAAAGTTAAATAAATTCAGTAAACTTCACCACGAGTCTACAAATTACATATATTTTTATAAAAAGTATAAGAGAGCTGGATGAACAGTCTAACACCAATCATGACAAATCTCTGTTGTGATCCTTTTTTTGTGCAACACAAAAATAGCAACAGATACGAAGGCACGAAAGGATCGCCTGCTAAAACAAGGAAAGAGCACACAACAACGCACAAACCTGACAGGCTGAAACGAACAAACATTTAAACGGAAAAATAATGTCGATATGAGGTGTAAGTTGTCGCGTGAGTGTGTATTTATTGGGATCACCCAAACACAAGGGAGAAAAACACAAACGAAGAACGGGGGAGAAGAGAAGCCAACACGGCAAACAAATGATATAATCATCATTCTTGAGGCCAAAGCTTGAAAGACGATGCTATCTTCAAAAAATGATATGTATGTGTATGAAGATTGATCTGGCGCCATTGAACCAAATTGTAAACTAATGATATTTGTAGAGAACCTTACCGACGAT